GTGTCTTCCCTGGTAAAATCATCTTTATATAAATCAATAACTTCTAATGAAAATAAATATCTAGTAAAGCTATTATTTTCGTCTAAGATGAAATTGTGACTTAACAGAGCACAAACACAAGATCGTGAAGAAACTGCAAGAGATGAAGCACATTTGTGGTATAACGGATGATGGTGTGAATAATGCACCAGCACTCAAGAAGACAGACATCGATATTGCAGTGGCAGATGCAACTGATTCTGTTCATCCGACATTTTTCTGATCGAGCCAGGACTTGGTGTTATAGTTAGCACAGTCTTAACAAGCAGAGCCATCTTCCAGAGGATGAAAAGTAATACGATCTACATTGTTTCTATCACCATCCATATCGTAAAGGTATTCATGTTCACTGCCCTCATCTGGAAGATTGATTTCTCACCCTTCATGGTTCTAATCATTGCCATCCTCGATACCATCATGACCATTTCCAAGGACAGGGTGAAGTCATCTCCAGTGCCCTCCTCATGGAAGCTCAAGGAAATTTTTGCCACTGGCGTTGTCCTACGAACTTACATGGCTATTATGACAGTCTTATTCTTCTACCTTGCATCTGATACCGATTTCTTCTCTGTAGGTCCATTGGTATAAACCAAATCATTTTTATTTTTTTTTTAATTTAAAAAAATAAAAATAAAAATTAGCAGTAAGGATAACAATGAAATTTATGCATTGATACACACGTTTGGTAACAGAATACCTTTAAAGTGAGATATATCATAGGCAATCGGGATGAGCTTACTGCTGCTCTCTACCTTAAAGTGAGCATTGTCAGTCAAGCACTCATCTTTGTGACTACAAGAAGCTGGTCATTTATTGAACGCCCCAGTTCATTGGTTGTTGGTGCTTTCTTTGTTGCCCAATTGGTAAGTTCCCAGGAATATAAAATCCATTTTTAAGATAAACATGATAATTTCAAATGCTTCCAAGTTTTTCATTTTTTCATTATTAACTTTGAATTCTCTGTTCAGCTGGCTACGAGTATCGCTGTATAGGCAAACTGGGGATTTTCTAGGATTCAAGGCATCGGATGGGGATATTCTGGAGTAATCCGGATATTCAGCATCGTCACTTACTTCCCGCTTGACATTCTCAAGTTCGTTATCCACTTGGCATTGACTGTCAAGTGGCAAGGCTTGTGAAAACATAATTAAGACTGCAAACTTAAACCAATCCCAAACTTAAAAGGCTGCCCAAGTAATTTTAATTTATTTATTTATTTATTTATTTATTATTATTGTTGGCACGAGAGATTTTGTCAACTCTCAAGATTGGAAAATCATAATTATAGGATTCTACAATTAGTGAGAATATTTTGTTACTCTTTATATGTAAATTACCTAGAATAGACTTTACGTTTCTGTAGCTAGTTCTAGTATATATATTTACCTCATAAAGAGAAGAATAAGAAGAACAAGCAGTGATTATTCACCAAATTCTTCCTATTCATCATGGTATCAGAGCGTACAGATAATCAAAAATTGTACTGAATTCTTATTATTATTATTTTTTCTGGATCTAAATGGCAGCCTCAGACTATAACCCCACTATCATGAATCCACCAATTATAGTCCAACAGGACAATTCCAGTTTCCCCACTGGTATTATTCTTGATGAAACAAATTTCCCATTATGGTCACAATTGATGGAGATGCGCATTGGAGCATGGAATAAAATTGGATTTCTTACTGGAGAAATGGTGACACCAGCACCCAATGATCCTTGCTACACAACGTGGATTACCGACAACCACAAAGTCAAGAGTTGGCTCATTGATTCAATGAGTCCTCATCTGATGCAGCGGTTTATCCGGCTGGCCACTGCCAAGGAGATATGGGAGGCTGTTGCGAAAACTTTCTACGATGGATCGGACGAAACCCATCTATTTGAATTGAACCGAAAGTCTTTCACCACAGTGCAGGATGGTCGACCTTTGTCTACTTACTATAATGAATTGGTTGAAATTTTTCAGGAAATCGATCATCGAACGAACGTACAGGAAGGATCTGTTGAAGGGCTTATACATATGCACTCTATGATGGCTCGACTGCGGGTCCACATATTCCTTAGTGGACTTGATTCAGAATTCGATCAGATCCGCAGCGAGATTCTACGAAAGGATCCAAAGCTGGATTTGGAAAGCACATATGCATATGTAAGGAGAGAAGCACAACAGAGACAGATCATGGGAAGTTCTCGACCAATTCCTGAAAGCTCAGCCATGGTGGCACACCGAAACAACAATTTTGCAAAGGGACGAAATAATCCACCTTCAGGGAAAACTAACCATTTTGTTTGTAGCCATTGTGGTGAAACAGGACACTCAAAACAACGATGCTATGAGATTATCGGCTATCCGGATTGGTGGGATTTCTCAAAGAAGCCAAGGAAAAACATTACTGGCAAAGCGGCAGTAGCCACATAAGGAGATATCCAGTCACAACCTACTGCCAACGTGGTTCAACAAGGTATCTCGGGTAATGTGGATGTATTTTCTGCCACTTCTAAGAATAGTACTTGGATTATTGATACAGGAGCATCCGATCATATGACTAGAGATCTTAGCAATTTACAAATTGTTCACCCATCCTCTCAATCTGTTATCTCCACTGCAAATGGAGGTACTTGTCCTATCACGGGGGAGAGATCCATTGTATTGTCCAAAACTTTGACACTTGATACTGTATTGGTTGTTCCCACGTTGGAGTATAATCTTTTGTCTGTTAGTCAAATAACCTCATCTCTTCAATGTACTGTAACTTTTTGGCCTTCATTCTGTGTTTTTCAGGACATTCTGACCCGGAAGACTCTTGGTTATGGTGTTAAACGGGACAAGCTCTACCACTTGGAATTGACTGAGGATGGGAACCATCAATTCAGCCATGCATTTAATACAAGTGGAATTGAGAAGGTTCAAGCAAATATATGGCTATGGCATAAGAGATTAGGACATATTTCTTTTGGTTACCTTAAGAAACTTAGACCAAAGTTGTTTTCTAATTTAGATGTTTCAGTTTTTCGTTGTCATGTATGTGAATTGGCAAAAAGTCATCGGATTCCTTATTTACCAAGTTTGAATATGTTCTGAACCTTTTATTGTTATACACTCTGATATTTGGGGGCCTGCAAAGATTCCACTGCTATCGTAAGGCTCGTAGTCCATTGCCAGCTTTCTCAGTCCCACAATTCACAAGTTTAAAGCTAAATTCATTACAGCCCAAAATTCTTCTTCTAAATAGATAGCGTAAATCACTATTAAAAAGAAAAACAAAAGAACCCAAAAAAAAGGAAAATCCTATCGCAATACGCCTTAAATATGCATAAATTTGTTTAAGGGTTTGGAGATATTCGATTCAATTTGTGTGATTGCAGGAATTTGAAACTCGGACGTGAAGTCGGTAAATGAATTACGTTCAGAGAGAGGGGCTTGAGTTCCGCCTCCGTTTGGGCTGAGGATCTTCCCCAGAATGTTCAAGATAATACTACACCCCAGGCAATGTCTGATTCTCCTTCAAATGAGGAAGAACACTCTGAGGGTTATCCTTCTTCTTCTCGTCTTCCACCAAGATCGAATAGAGGTATCCCAAAGAAACAATATGAACCTGATCTCAAAGCTAATGTTAAATATCCTATTAACAATTATATCTCTACTAATAGATTATCGGATTCATATGCTCTAACTGTCGATCAATTGTCCAAAGTATCTATTCCTAGTAATGTGCAGGATGCATTAGCAGATCAAAAGTGGAAGAAGGCAATGAATGAAGAGATGGAAGCTCTGCAAAAGAACCCAACTTGGGAATTGGTTCCACTACCAAAAGGGAAGAAGACAATTGGTTGCAAATGGGTGTATACTGTGAAGCTTAAAGCTGATGGAAGCATCGATAGATACAAAGCAAGGCTAGTGGCAAAAGGTTACAAGCAGAAATATGGAGTTGATTACCAGGAGACCTTCGCACCAGTAGCTAAGCTCAGTACTGTTCGCATACTCATATCAGTAGCTACAAATCGAGATTGGCCTCTCCGACAGTTCGACGTAAAGAATGCATTTCTAAATGGTGACTTGGAGGAAGAAGTATACATGGATCTTCCTCTGGGTGTTAAGAAAGGATCCATACATAAAGGCAATGTGTGCAAGTTGAAGAGATCATTATATGGACTGAAATAATCTCCCAGAGCTTGGTTTGGAAGGTTTACGCAAGCAATGCAGTCATTTGGTTATAGGCAAAGTAACTCTGACCACACCTTGTTTATAAAACACAAAGAAGGAAAGGTAACAGCATTGATCGTGTATGTAGACGATATGGTCTTGACCGGTAATGATCTTGAAGAAATGGAGAAGCTGCAGAAATATTTGGCCACCAAGTTCGAAATGAAAGACCTAGGACAACTACGATATTTCCTAGGTATTGAAGTGTCTCGATCAAAACAGGGAATCTCCCTTTCTCAACGGAAGTATGTGTTGGATTTGCTAACTGAAACCGGGATGTTATCCTGCAAACCAACTGAAACACCAATGGAGATAAATCATCAACTTGGAATGTCTTCGGACCAGAATCTGGTAGATGTAGGTCGTTATCAACGACTAGTGGGGAAGTTGATCTATCTAACTCACACTAGGCCAGATATTGCCTATGCTGTGAGTGTAGTAAGCCAGTTTATGCAAGCTCCAAGTGAAGACCATATGAATGCAGTTTATAGAATCTTGCGGTATTTAAAAAATGCTCCAGGAAAAGGGTTATTGTACTCGAAAAATAAAGTACCCACCATTGAAGGTGATGAGTGCACAAAAAGTGCACTCAAAATATTCTATCTTTGAATTAAATTGCTAAAATATGAATAGAAAAAATGGATTATGACTTGTATTATTAAAATTAACTTCTATTCATATTAAAACATATTTGAGCATGGTTTTATTATATTCAATTGCTTTGAAATATTAAATAGAAGAAAGATGAATAAACACACTCGGTTTCACTCAAAGCACTTGGCGCCAACATCCATTTGTACCCATGCATGCCATTTAAAAATCCTAAGTTGTCACTTTTATTTTTAAAAGCTCTTTTTCTAGATATGTTTTAGAATTTTGCTTTTAAAATTGGTTTTATCTTATTGAAGGCAGCCATAGGAAATTGCAGGCTACAAATTTCATACAAGGCACCTCCTCAAAATCAGACCAAAGCTGATTTTATTCCAGCCACAAATTGTAGGATGCAAATTCATACACGGCACCTCATCTCTTCAAGAAACCGGCGCCTACACTACATCATCCATTTGCTAATCCCAATTGCAATTCAAAAGGAAATCAGCCATAAATAGAAATACACAGCACATCTATATATGCATGGCTCACTTGAAAACAAAAACAATTGAAAATGGAATCATCAAAGTTGAATTTGTTGACCAACAACTTCATGGAAATTCTTACACGGCACTAAGGGCTATACTTGCATGGTCAACTATTCTTATCTTCTTGGGAGTATTATTCAACTAAAGGGCAGGCTGGCAGCACACTTGAAGCATGGAAAAAATCTGGAAATCAAGACATGCAGCCGTCCATTGCATTTCAAGTTTCATGGCAGCCGAAAATTTGGACCAATTCCACTTACTCCATACTTCAACAATTCGGCTACTAATTGAAAGGTTTCACACAAAAATTCTCCTATAAATAGGAGGGGAGGGGACGTGAAAAAAGGGAGAAAAAAAAAGGGTTTGGAATGCTTAGTCATTTTGGTATCTTGAGAAAGTGAAAATCAAGGAAAGGAGAGAAAATGGCATGTTCTTCCATAGTGTCTTTTAGAGAATTTTTGTTGCATATTTTCAATATGTGTAACTAAATTTTCTAAGTAGAGCTAGGGATGAACTTGTGTATTATGGTATTTGTAATTTATTTTTGATTCATGTATTTGGTTTTTAAATATTAAGACTTTTTGTTCTATCATTTGCAATCTATTTGACATGTTTTACGTCTCCAAATAATTATAGAATCTATTTCGTTTATGGATTCAGTCATGCTTTTTCCATTGAGTGGATTAGTTCTATGATTATATTTGGAGCAATTGTTGTCTATATTGATTCAGTTCTCTGCTGCAATATCGCCCCTGGGTATATTGTCGACGTTGGATTTTCTCAATAGTGATAATAATTTTCGTTCTTTAATCGCGACGAATGATTTTATCAAAGAGTTACTTTTGATTTAATTTTGGTTATTACTGTTATATCTTCCGGTTGAAAATTTGGACATAGAATTTTCAATTGAGTTATCAATGAATCAGGAATAAATTTAAATATCAGAAATATGCAAGGAATTCCCTACGCTCTACTATTTCATATCATTTTAATACTTTTCATATTACTCACTTGGTTTTAATTTATGTTACACTTCAAAAATCACTTTTTTTGCACTCTTCTAAATATTTTTGTTAGTTTCGTCACTATCTTTCATCTCAATCCATCTCCCTGTGGAATCGACACCCCAAAGCTATACTACAAACGATCGCGTTATTCTTTGGGCGTAATCAGAAGGTTACACTGACGCTGATTGGGCAGGAGATCAAACAACCAGGAAATCCACCTCGGGTTATCTCACATTTGTAAAAGGCAATCTTGTTACCTGGAGGAGTAAGAAGCAGAAGGTTGTTGCTCGTTCAAGTGCAGAAGCAGAGTTCCGAGGTATGGCACATGGTTTATGTGAGCTGCTATGGATTAAAGAAGTTCTAAAGGACATTGGAATCGAGTGTGCGAAGCCTATGAGTTTATTCTGTGATAATAAAGCTGCAATTCAAATTGCACAAAATCCAGTACAGCACGATCGCACTAAACATGTTGAAGTTGATCGTCATTTTATTAGGGAAAAACTTGACCAGAAGATTATTCAATTTCCATTTGTCAAGTCCGAGAGTCAGCTTGCAGATGTTCTCACAAAGGCAGTCTCGGGGAGGATATTTCATGCAATGATTGACAAGTTGGGCATAATAGATATCTATGCACCAACTTGAGGGGGAGTGTTGACACGAGAGATTTCGTCAACTCTCAAGATTGGAAAATCATAATTATAGGATTCTACAATTAGTGAGAATATTTTGTTACTCTTTATATGTAAATTACCTAGAATAGACTTTACGTTTCTGTAGCTAGTTCTAGTATATATATTTACCTCATAAAGAGAAGAATAAGAAGAACAAGCAGTGATTATTCACCAAATTCTTCCTATTCATCAATTATTATTATTTAGATCACCTTTAATCTTTATTTTATCTTTTGAACAATATAGACTGCATTCACGACCAAGAAAGATTTATGGCAAGGTGAGATAGAACTTAGAAGCACAGCATACACTTTTCTCCTGCCCTTTCCAATGACAAGCACTGCAAGGAATAGTCTGAAATCTCCAAGCAGGCTAAAAGAAGCGCTGAAGTTGCCACATGAAGTATAAGCACATCATGCTACACATAAAGCTATTTTGACATCCATTTTTGACATCTTGGTTGACATCCATCTATGTATAAAAAATCTGGTCGGATTGTCTGTCACATCATGAGATGTCAACCAAATTGTCAGTGTAGCAAAATTGATTTTGAAAAGTGACGAGAGTTATGAGATAATTGTCCTGATTACACACCTCAATCTACCAGGGAGCTTTCAAGGGACACATCGAATCACTTATCAAACTCAAGGGACTGGTCAATCATAGTTATTGAGGATAAACATGTTGTGTAAGATATATATATAAAATATATTATTTGAAAGAAATAAATAAATTAAGATAGATAACCAACTGGTAAAAAAAATATAAAATTGATGTGAAAAGTCGATAATTTGAATAACACTCCCCACGAATATTTAAAAAATAGCATTTGAATGGAATTAGTGGATGATTAAATGAAATAAAAATTATTTTGCTATTGAATTGTAACTTAGTAGTGATGAAAATCATAGTTTCTGTTACTATACATACAGCTTCGGCTCCTCAGAAAAAACGCACCAAAAATCATTTTCATCTATCATTTTTACAAACTCAATTCTAGTGTTATTTTACCTTATTGAAATATTATTTTGGAGAAAATCTTGAGTTCTAGAAATAACTAGTTATGGCGAAACTAGTTATTCGATCATTGTATCAAGTAATTGTCCAAAAAGATTGCAATAGTTAACGACGGATAATTTCACTTTAAAACATTGTGCTATCACGCGTTTCGATCTTCGATCGATCGATAAGAAAATCCACACCCATGACCTCTCCATGATGTGCCTAAAAGTTAGTATCATAAAGGTTCCGACATCAAAGGGACACTAAACTACAAGCACAACCACAATTGATCTCTGCAGAGCGCAATAAATAAACGGTTTACATTTGATAGCAAAGACAATTTAAGAGATCAGTTTAACGTACAAGTACATGAGCTAGAGATATTTCGTAGGCTCTTAAAGATGGCCAAGTTCAACAAGAGATTACTATAAAGCTGCACACGTTAAGCTTTACGAACAATAACTCTCCTTTCTCTCTTGTATTCTACTTCATCTCTTTGATGCATAATCAATAGAGCTCTTCTTACCTGACATGCACCAAAATACACAGAAGACATTAGATACCGTAAAAGTTCCTGTTTTTGTGTTTGTTTTATGCACTCATGGCAACAGATGTTCAAATCAATTGTAACATATTTTGTTTGCTAGAGCATAAATAATTGGACTCTTACAATAGATTCATTCATGCCCATTCTTGTAAGATCATCAATCAGTCGTCTCTCTGAAATATGGCTTCCAATCCCCATTCTTCTCTTTATTTGAGTTTCCGCTTGCTGTACATCATAAAGGAATTAGCAGAGCATACATCATGATAAACAAGTTAACGAGAATCAAAGCATCTAATAAAAGTTGAGATGTTTGAGTTAAACCTTTATCTCGTTTGCCATCTCGGGAGTAAGATTTATATGTTGATTTATTCCAGAACGTGCTGCATCCATTGTAGCGTTGTTGAACAGCCTGATGGCTTCCAGAACATGGTTATCATTTGCGACGTGCGACCTAAATCAGAAATAAGATTTGAGTAAAAAGTTCAAAAAATCAAACGGGTAAATACATACATGTACCTGCCTTGCAGATAATTACAGATGCAAGTACACAAAAGAAGTGAACTGTATGTTTCAAAGTTTATCTGCAGAGGATTGTAACTAACACAGAATGACATTATTATTAAGTTGCAAATTGCATAGGATGATTGCAATTTGGCTGAGAGTTAATCCTAAGCTCGATAGCACCAAAAAATGCTTTGCTGTGCACATTGCTTGGCCGTTGGAGCTATTACTGAACATGCAGTGGATAAATGACCACCCACCATATTTTATAATCCATGAACCTTTTCCATTTCAAGGAGACTGCACAGGAAAGTAGTCCAGCCCAGTGTTTCACAGAAAAATGCAATATCCAACTTCGATTATGGCTACAACTGAAATGAGACCAATGATGCAACAAATGGAACATTTAAATTATGAAGTCAAAGTTCTTGAGAAAGGCAGTTCCAACTTTTGACTAACACTAACAAAATAAGCTTTGCTTGAGATGCATAGTTAGATTATAATTGAGTGAAACTCAATTTGGTGGCATCCAGACACAGGTTATCTGCAACATTAGCAGTAACATGACAACCAGCATTTTGAGGCATTGTCCATTAGTAAAAAGCACACTGTAAAAAGTCTGTTCTTGGAACTTCCTTTTATTCTTGGCAGTAGCAAAGGTTCGCAATAAATGCCCTCGTACAAATTTCAGGATACTACATAATCTTGCTTTTTTGAAACATATTGAATTATCTTGTCAGAAACACTAAAAGTGAAACTACTGCATTCTTCTTCTTCTTTAACATACCGTTCAACTATGGTTTAAGCACAGCCTAATAGAAAAACAGATCCTTGTTCAATATTATACAGTATAAGAAATGGAAATCTGTAGATTAAATAGATCAGAAATCAAATTTTGCAGTCAAGTTTGGCAATGGCATGATTTGAGCATTGCACCTTTGTTTCCACTTAAGATGTCAAAAAGCAAAAAAGAGGAACATCAGGAATCAAGTTTAATCAATATATTCTACATCATCTTACAGTCTCATTTTGGCCAGTGCTTCGCTCAATCTCACAATAGCTTCCAGCTGCCTAACTGTAATTGGTATTGCAGCTGCCTCCCCAGTTTCATTTGCTTGTCGTCTCATATCCTACAAGTATCATAGGCAGGAGCAACCTATCAATCAAATTGATACTATTTTATAGTTACAAGGAACACAGGAATTACAGTTTACAAGGAAATATAGACAATCTTTGTGAAACATGTGGTATCTTTTTGAACTAGATAATTAGTCATTTTTTAACCTTTAAACAACAAAATTATGTGCTCTGCATCTCATTTTTCCCAATAAAATTCTGTCTCTCGAGTTATTCATTTAATCAAAAAGACTTCATCCCAACAACAAAATACACACCCTTACAAGAGGACAATTTAGAAAGAATTCTTTTAATATACCAAAACACAGCAGAAAAATGACATCGATGCCCCTCACAATTTGGAGAGCCATTACAAATTGTTGATGGAAATGTTATAGATGCACTTCAGATTTTTAACATGAATTTCGATAAGTAGCTAACTTCATATGCAGTGCTACTCATGAACCACACCTTTGGCAGCACTAGAGTAAGAGGTTGAAAGGTCTTCACTTTTTACTCAGATGTTGATTAAAAGTGGCAGAAAAATACCTGTCTAATTTTCACATAACTCTGCTGCAACATTGATGCTGCAGATTCTGAGAGACGGGGATGGCATTCAGTTCGACAATAGTGTATATACCTGTACAAAGCAGCTCGGATACTTCAGCCTGGGAAACAACCTTAGCAATGCAACTACAAAACACAAGAAAAAAGGACAGGTTTTAAGAAAAAGAGACCTCTTCAACCAGTTATCCTCTTTGGAAGTCCTCGTGTCATTTGTGGTTGCACTGGCAGATGCATGAACTTTGATGATGTGGCTGGCAATATTCTACAAATGCATAAAATATCTTATCAAGTTCTGCAAAATATTCCATTTTGACATTGTGAAATTGGGCTCCTTAAAAGTGGTCTAAGAAGCACAGATATGGATACGTAATTCGGATACGATACGATACGGATACACCGATACGACTTTTTCTAAAAAAATAGAATATGCCGATACGTGTTATAAATTCAACATAATTTCATTAATATAAAAAACAATACAGAAGCATGGTAATAAAAATAAAATAAAATACTAAAACACTTTATCTTAATCATTAATTGTTGAAACTTCATTTTCTTCAACATCATCAAATCAATTTATTCATTATCATTAAGAATAACATTCTCCAACTCTAGCTCATCTAATGATAAATTAGCAACCTCAAATAGTTCAATATCTTCAAGAATATCAAATGAGTCTCCAGCAAAGTCCCACATTTTAGATTTTCTTTTTGAATAGAAATCTAATTTTCTTGATAAAAGATACAAAATGCTATGAATGAGAACCAATTTTTCAGCTCTTTGTGGAGTTATTTTATTCCTTGTAGAGTACACAAAAGAATACGTACTCAAATTTCTTTCAACGCAAGATGAAAAATGTTGCACAAAAAGTTTCAAAGCAATGTTTTGTAGCAAATGTACATGTGAACCATGAAGTAGCAATCATGTCTTTAAATCCATATTACACCAACTAGTGATAGAATCAAATAATACAGTTTCACATGTATTAAAAGATTAAAAAATATTGTGCATTTTTAATAAAAAGCCTAGTTGTTAATTTTAAAACTCTAATTTTGTATTTTCAATAAATATTATTGATATTCAATAAGTTATTAAAATAATTTAAAAAATACATATCGGATACGTATCGAAAGTCATATAAAAAAATATAAAATAATTAAAAGATAAGTATCGGAAATTTAAAAATATAAAAATATATAAAATAATTAAAAAACAAGTGTTCGGTTCGTATCCGAGGGTATTGGAGTTTGGATACGCATCGGATACTGGTATGTAACGAGTTTACATGCATCGATGCTTTTTAGAAAGTGGTACGGGGTGACAAAATATATTCACATAGAAAAATATGTTTATATATTTAACTATGTGGTTTGGTTCCTTCAGGAGTCCAATCAAGTCTAAAAAAAATACAATATCTAAAAGTGATTAAGCATCCGTTTGCAGATTTATAAATCAATTGTAAAGAGGAATAGTAGTGGATCCCAACAAATGTGGATGAGTAGTTATGAACATATGGTTTAAATTCATGTTTGACTTTGACTGAATTTATAAATCATTTATATATTAGTTGCCAAACGAAAGCTAGTATTTTTTTTACCTTGTCTTGTGCATACATTCTGATGTCTTTCACAATGAAAATTAAATCAAATCTTGAAAGAATTGTGGTCTGCAAGTCAATGTTATCTTGTGCAGTCTGAAGAGAAAAGTATGTTAATTTCTCCGACACAGAACAAAAGGAAAAGATAAAAACTTGAAAACCACCAGAGAACAAATACTGATGGACCTTGAGATCATCGTAGCGCCCAGATGGAGGGTTGGCTGCTGCAAGCACTGATGTCCTTGAATTGAGAACAGTTGTTATTCCTGCTTTAGCAATAGAGATAGTTTGCTGCTCCATCGCTTCATGAATGGCAACCCTAAGACCATGGATATGAACTCTTGAGAATTCTATAAAGAGAACCAACAAACATAATTATCTTGATATAATCACCTGTCTTCTGCCCTCATTTTGTCAAATTCATCAATGCAAACAACACCTCCATCTGCCAAGACCATGGCTCCTCCTTCTAGATAGAACTCTCTCTGAATTACCAAAGTAGGATTTACAATATATCATGTAGCATAAAAAATGGAAAGGCATGCCAAATTGAAAAGACTCTGAAGCAACAGAAACTTACCGAGCTATTGTCACGAATTACAGAAGCAGTGAGACCAGCAGCAGATGATCCTTTCCCAGAAGTATATACAGCTATTGGAGCTGTCTTCTCAACAAACTTGAGAAACTTCACAGCAAATTACATACAAACTCAGAATTTTGTTTTATATGGTCAAGAAGGGAACATAGTCATATAGTATCTTCAAACCAATTTAAAATGCATGAACCAAAATGAAGATTTTCAAAGAAACAAAGAGGATGGAATATGGGGTCATGCTCAGAAATTAAATGTGTAAAAGCGTAATAACCTGTGATTTGGCTGTAGATGGATCACCCAAGAGCAACACATTAATATCGCCTCTTAGTTTTACACCATCAGGCAATGCCTGCATTCTCAAAAGAGTGAATTTGTAACCAAAATGTACTAAAAAGTGACATTAATAGTAGAAAACAATCAATGATATACCTTCCTGGAACCTCCAAACAAAAGGCAAGCAACAGCCTTCTTCACATCAGAATGACCAAATATTGAGGGAGCAATTTTGGAGCATATGTTTTCATATGCATTATTATCTGATGCGAATTTTTTAAATTCTTCAATCTATAATAAGTAAAATACGTTAAGATAGTAATAGAACAGCAGTAAAAGTTAAAAATGATTTTTTGAAACATGAACTTTTTTTTTTCGAACTTTTTTTTACAGAAATAAAAAAAAAAAAGCAAATTGCAACTACAATTATTTTGTACATCATCTCTACTGAAGTTGGTTGGACCCCGTGAATTAGCCTCGGAAGTTTCTTCTAATCCAACAACCCTGATGTAAGGCTGCCTAACTGCAACTGCTCCTTTATGGCTGCTCAAAAATCCAAAACACGTTGACTATCAATGAGATGGATGATACAATGTTCTTAAATTCATCCATGTGAAAAAACTTACGATGTTGATGAATTGGCAGCTTGAAAGATGCTATAAATTCCCATGATAGTCAATCTTGTCCCAGGCACAATTGTTTGCACAAGCTGGCGGTCGATAGATAGAAGCATGTTCCTTGGTAATTCCCCTGTGGGGACATCCTAAAATTTCCAAAAATCAGTACAGACAAAAGGTTAACAAACCATAACATATGAAACAGATATTATGAACACCAATAGTGGAGCTAATAATCATCTCCATTTAATAGCTAAAGACTCCAACCTCAGGATTTTCCTGCAATTTCAGCGTTTGTTGATCAACATACTTGCTTTTATCTGGAACCACAATCCATGGATCAATTGGGCATGGATCTTCCCCAGGCTACAAAGTGAGCAATCATTTACATGTTAATAAAATAAATTAACCATAGAAATAAAGAGAATGGATTTGCCAAAAACCTGAGGGACATGATCACAAGAACGTGGCACAATTGCTCCTCCAAGCCCTGGACGGCATGGAACAACCCTTACATTCTTACAGTTCTTACACAACAATGTCACATATGTAGCCTTTGCCTTAGTCCTTGATGCAGCAATGACGATTCCAGATATCTTAACCAGCTTGGAAATATATTGGGCCTGCATATCAATTTACAAGTTTTTGCCAAAAGAATACTAGTTTTAGTAAAAATACACATTCTGAGAATGTAAAAAACATCCGACCAACATAAAGTCCACTAACCCCTAGCGAACGTATTGAGACCGGATCCTGGTCTGACCTCAACAGTATCTGCACCTCACCAGTCTCTGGCTCTTCCATTTCCCCAGTCTCTCCAGATACCCTTGATCTCAAACTCGACAGAACTTCTGCTGCTGCAGTTTCAAACTAATGTACATTCCGGAACAAAAAGAAAAGGAAATAAACATCAGTAAATCAATCTTGTAAGTTCTAAAACAATGTAGTTTCTTAAAAAATTAGATCCACGTTGTAAATGGAAATGATAGTGGGATGTAAATTCTGATGCCTCAATGTTGAAATAAACGGATTTACCACCATTTTGAGTGAGATCGAATTTTCTCTAGCAAGTTAAAGTCTCATCCCACCCACACTGAATCATGTGTTTTGTGCATGTATTGTGCTAGTATATTTTTGTGGCTTAACCTGTTTTTAGCTAGATGATAAGTCAAGATTCAACTAAAGTAGTTTAACTAAGTACAATCATTTAAAGAAATATCAATTAATCATATCAAACAAGTGTAAGCTGATAAGCACCAAATTTGTTCATATTGAAGGGTGGAATGATGTTACAAGCCTCTGGCCAGACAATACAAAATTGATCCAATTACCATATTCCCAGAACATGCCTTCATAAACACACACCAAAAAAAACACATGCTAAGTCGTGGCACTTCAAATGTTGTATCTTGCTTATTGGTCAATAATTAACCTACTTATTCTGGCTCTAATTGTTTACTGTAATACACACGCAGACACAAATGTTCAGTGAGGTGTACTGCATATACACAAATATTACCGCATCAATGAGTAGAACCACATGCCGCAAGTTTTGTACTTTGCTCACAGATCAAGAATTGAATGAAACTACTATGATTTATCAAAAAATAAATTAGCAAGTACTGACGAGGGGTAGATAGTCAGCAGGGTTCTGGCGGAGAAGTTGAGGCAGTGTTTGGTCGGAGTCGTAGGAGATGAGATCGGCGAGGTTGATGAGGAGGCACTTATGATCCGCCACAAGGGCCTCTCTGTAGGGAAAAACGTTCGGCTGGGTCTTGCATTGAAAATTCCTTATGAATTCTTTGAATTTCTGCAACGCCGCGTGCCGGCTAGTCCCATGAGCCTGGTCACCGGAGGAGCCACCTCCGGGAGGGAACTGCGCCTGGTCGCTGTAGTATATCTCTCCCTCGTCCCACCCCGACATCTCTTTCTCTCTCTCTCTGCTTGTGTTTGTGAGAAGTTCTCTATAACCAATTTGGTGAGTGAAGAAGGGTTTGGAGGGGTCTTTTGGAGATTGGGGTGTCGGTTTTGGCGGGAAAGATTTGGCGGGAATATAGTCACGTGCCATGTGCATGAGGGCAGACTATATTGATGCTTCTTAAACGGGTTAAAATGCATTATAGGTCACTAAACTTTCGGTGGAGTTGCATTCAGGTTACCAATTTTAAATTCTGTGCAATGAAGCCATCCAATCTCGATTTTCTTTCGAATATATCCACTCTGTCTACAGCTGCCGCCTTCCAATCCAATTATCATAGTATGCCCTGTTGTAGTCACATTCTTCGAATTCATATTCAACCTTACTTTCTCCAATTAAATAATCATAAACCAAATTTTTTTTCTACTTTTTTACAAACTTGCCAAAAATTTATTTTTTACAAAATTTATTCTAAAAAATGAAGCTCAAACGGGAGCATACTCATATTAGATAGAATAAATTTATTTTTGTTCGTCGAGAAGGTTTCTATAACTTACGAAAATAGGTGTCTCTATAATTTAATGTATTAATAATTTACCATTTGAACCGTTTGAGTTGGTGAAAACAAATATATATCTTTCATCTTACGATATTTTTCTTCTACAATTGATATTGCATATTATGGTTGCGTTTGAGTTTCATTTTCGTGTGAAAAATCTTAGGTCGAATAGTCTTATATGCACAGTGGTAAGATCGTCCACTTAATTGATGACACGTGATCATTTATTTCATAATTAATATTTATCATATTTATGTCTAATTTTATTTATACTTAGTTTCACTTTCTTGCTTTTCATCAAATTTATTTTTCGATCATTGTCTCCATCTTCTATTTGATCAACTTCAATTTTCTTTCAATTAAAAAAAAAATTAAAAAAATTGAGAGACTATAACCACGGTTCTCAAAACATTCCAGTTGTCACCTTTTCACTATCACTTAACTACTATACTATATAAAGGAGTCACTTTGGTTTTCACTGTTCATAAGCCGTATGACCATGTTAAGCCAAGCGGAAGTGGTTGAGCAGCGTTCGCCGAGCCATTTCTATATTCTAAACTATCTTTTCCCTCTTTTTTGGTCCAAGAAATGATGTTAGTTCACTGTCATTTGACTATTTTGTACTTTACGTTTGCGTGTGAAAAGGCGAAAGAGAAATAATGGCGTGTTTACATTGGTTGAATAAAAAAATATAAGGATAATGCTAAGTAAAAAAAATGAACAGTGCCAAATTCTCTCCATTCTGAACGGAGAGATGAACGTTGGCACTATTCCCTCTTTCATCAATTCAATTTTTTTTTTTTGTCTTTATTTATTCTTGTATGCTACGCTACTTTCACATGCAACCATCATTTCGATTTCTCTTTCTTCTTTCTCTCACAAATTTCATGCTCTGTATTCCATTTCCCCACACAACCAAAACTTTACCTTTCTTTTTTTCTATTTCTAATTGTTGCAGCAGGAGTTACAGAGAAGAACATGGCTGAAGACGAGATATATTTGTTCTTCTATTTCCCATTAAGGTCTCCCCTTTTCAAGCAAGAATTCAAAAAAAAATTGAATTTTCATTTATTCTTGGCGTTCTTGGTAAGGTTTTCAAGTTTCTTATAGGTAGATTTATTTTGTTTTGTGATGTTTCAAACAATATTTGTTGGAGTCAATGTTGTTTATAAACTGGCTGCAAAAGATGGAATGAAGTTGTCCATTTTGGTGGGCTATAGATTTATGTTTGGCACTGGTTTGATGGTTCCGGTTGCCCTCTTGGTTGAAAGGTTGTAATCCATGTTTATTTTGATTTTCAGATTTACAAGAAAGAATATTTAATTTAATCCCACGAAGAATTTGAAAATTTTAAAGCTAAATTGCACACACAAGAAGTTCTCCTGAATCTTCAAATTTCTTGATATTTCAGGAAGAAGAAGCCTAAGTTAACGTGGATGGTTGTCTTCCAAGCACTTCTTTGTATTCTACTAGTGTACGCACGTGCGATGCACGTGTTACAGTTTAGTTGGGTATTTAATAGCGTGGAATGATTTTAAAGTATTTTTTCGATGGAAGAGATATTCTTCCTAAAAGTTCACAGTGTGTCAACCATTCGTTAACAGTATGACAATAGCTGAAGAGATGTTCTAGAAACATTGAACAAAGTTTTCACAAGATTTTATCGTGTGATTGTGTGGTTAAATAAAAAAAGAGTTTTGAAAGAATGAAAAAAAAAAAGAAAAAACACGAGCTTATTTCGATGTATCTTTAATTTCCTTTTAAATTCACCTAATCACGTTATACATTAAAAAAACAACTTATTTAATTATATAATTACGAATGGAAACTTTCTTGCAAAAATAATAAACTACACTTGCTACATTATGAAGGTCAATTAAGATAGTCCATGAATACACCAGCCACCAAGATAGTCCATGAATGTTTTCTGAATTGGGATGAATAAAACACAATTGAAAACCTCTATATATTGGGAACAAAAGGGGATTCTTTTGATTTCTATTTGATGTGGAAATCATATTAATCCCATTAAAAGTAGGAAACTTAAATCGTATTCTATGTGGTTAGCAAAAATTTAATCCTTATTCTGTATAGGACAATCCTCAATCAATCCACCTTCAATATTTTACTTGGCAGAGATAATACAAACCCAAGTTAGTCTTATCCTGCATATCACTTATCAATAGATGCAGATACTTCCAATACATCAAGTGAGGAAAAGATCATATATATTTGAAAAAGATCAAATCTTTACTTGCTTGCTTTCAAGAAGCTCAATTTTTTTCATGGGTCATGCTACATGTACGTAACATTTTACTTAATCTTTTACACCCCACTCACATCAGAAAATGGGGACCACGGGTCGGCATTTTTTAATACATGTGGGGTCGGCTTTTTTGTGAAGGGGTACACAATTCGATACCCCCCTCCTCGGTACAAGGGGAATAACCCTTTTTTCATTCCTTGAAATTAATCATAACAAAGACATCCATGAATAACTCATACAACAATACTATTCAGCAAATCAGTTGAATTTAATTTTTAAAGCTATGTGACAGCTTATGAAGCCGGACACTATCTCATGGATTAAATTAATGTCATACCCAATCCAATTAAGATTAGATCGTACTGCACTTGCTTAATATTAGCAAGAGTATCAATCAAAGAAAATGCATTTGGTTTGATGCAAGTTGTGTAGTAACTGTTATTTTCATCTATTGAACTTCCTCAATAATAAACCCCAAATTTCAGCAAGCATATGAACACAGATGGGCATCATAGGTTTGTAACTCAATCCTTGCTCACACTCAGTTCATTCTTACGCATGAAAGTCATCTAACGGACGATAGAGACAACGTTCATGAATCTTTTGAATTGTCAAGACTTCTTATCCACTTTCACTTCAAAGAAATTTGGCCAATATTTGAGAAGTAATGGGATGCGAAGATTAAAATCATGTCATGCATAAAGCTTATAAAATGTTTTGAGGTTCAATTGATGTAGTCCACCTAATGATATTTTCCACATTTGCCTCCTTTTCTCCTTTTTGTTCCTGCAGTGTTTTCTTTCAAATATTCTTCAATTTTTTTCCTTGTTGGTTTAGGTAGGAGGCGTCAATGAAAACTCAACGATGTTTCTCTCCTTGTATTCAAGGGTCAAAAAATCTTAATGATATATTCATATTATTAAATATGATGTGATAATTTTTATTTCATCCAAGTAGAAGTTAATCGTTGAATTTGAAGAAGCCATAAATATATGAACCAAAATATCTGAAAAGTAGCTGTAGCACGAGTAATTGCACGATTAAAATTATCATGTCAAAGACAAGATATGTCATACATCATTTACAATAAGCTTTGATGTTTGCCTCTGCTCATCTATGTTTTATGACTTTGCAGCATTGAAATCTCAAGCAAAAGATATGAAAAAGAACCACTATTATATCTTTAATATTCCGAGAAAACCAATTAATCAAGATAAATGATGCAGCCATTACCATTAACTCATTGATTCTATTGGATATCCAAGAATTAAGCATTCTATATATTTCAGCAAGAAAATTGGACAGTTTGGCCTATGAAGAAAATGGTGTTAGTTAGATTACATAAATAATAGAAATGAAAATAAAATATTGTAATGAAGGATAGATATATTACTTATTACTTACCCATTATTTGCACATGGGTAAGTAATTGCTTGAACAAATCAAGGCAATTCACGAGTATTTATGCAGGCACAGATTCTTCTGCAATACTTGGCTCTAAGTTATTGGTTGCTTTTTCAGAAGAAAGTAAAGAAAACTAACCTCATCAGGATCTGGAACTTCTAAAGTGGTGCCATGTGGAGCTTTAATTGCTATCAAAGTTTAATTCTGACGAAATAAACATACCAATGCTTCAGTAAGAATCTACCAACCAATGAAAGTAGCAAGGAAGAACTGATGTGAAGTACCTGAAAGCAAGGTAAACTCTTGATGTCTTCTTCAGTGACGAAAAGCCACCTGGTGAAGAAGCAACGTAAACATGACAATTATCAACACAAAAGGGAGCGAGCCAAATGATCCACGTAATATAGTAAGGAGTGCTTTACTTTTGTTTGTTTTCATCTCTGCTGAAGCCTCTCAATTTCTCTTGCATTTCTCTGAAACAAGTAAAAAGATCAGAAGAATTAACTGACACAAGGGAAAAATTTCATCTGCAGACAACATATCTAAGAAAATAGGATTAAGTATGCATGGATGTTGTTTCTATTTTGAGTTGGGGGAGCAAGTGTGGAGCAAATATTCTACTTAAACTTGAAGTTAGCTTACCATATGAAAGAACATGTAAGGTAATTATCATCAATTAGATAGCTATCTTGTAAATTCCATTAGAGGCATATAAATTACAGCTCACATATATTAAATAGATAAAGATATACCAGTATTTGAGTTATTATTGATAGA